AACAGCCTAAATATTTTAATCATTAATGTCTTAGAATATAAGACATGAATGCTAATAATCCTTTCCTGAATGTATTCTTTTAAAATGTTTGACTCTCTTTCTTCCGGTCTAGAAAACCGAGATTAATGGCCATGGGGATATGTTGTGCTGACCATGTGATGCCCTCTATCCTCAAAAGTTGGCACTAACTTTGCCAACAAGCAGCAGTCGCTCGGTCGGTATAGTTTGCTTGTGGACTAAAGGCCATGCAGGAAGGACTCTCTTTCTTTCCCATATTCATTTTGCAGTATATGTATTATTTTTTTGTGGTTTATTCATGGCACTGTCAGCAGCTCATTCTTCATTGCATCAAATGGTGTGATGATTAATGAATAAGGGTTCAGAATGGGTGTGAAAGGAAGCAGTTTTGGCCAGTCAGGGTACACTCCTGGCATTTACCTTGATAGTCTTAAGGAAACCACGAAAAATACCAGTTGGCATAGCTGGTGTCCTGACTGATATTCAAACTGAACACTTTTCTGAATTCAGGTCTAGAGTGTTACTGCAACACTAATATGTTCAATCTTTCATGAACCTCATTCCACACCATATATCCTCTTCAGTTGATTCAGCATTATTAACTCGTAAGTCGACATTTGTTGTGACTTTCATTGTCAGTTATATCAGTTTGTGATCACTTCCACAGGACATAGATTTAGCTACTTTCATTTGATACCTGAGTGTACATTAGGTGTATACAAATAACTGCTGCACATGGGTATTGATGGAGCCTTGCCAATGTTAATTATTGCACATGACATTTGCTTCCTCTAAGCTACTGTGATTTGTACATCAGACGAACAGTTGAAAGACAAGCAACAGTCAATTGATGTTTTTCATTCCTTGTCAGTCAAGGATACTTTAGATCTGTAATAATTTATGGCTGTTTGATGTGAACATTTATGACTGTCTTGATAGTTTTGCTGTTTATTCCTTTAGCCATTTTCATATTTAAAATACTACAGTTAGGCGCGATAAGATTTGGATGATGTGAAGTCAGATATTTCTATTTCTGAAAATTCCTTCAACTACTTGAACAACTGAAGTCTTTATTAGGAAAGAGTAGTTGCTCAGGAGATCAAGAAATTTCGTGCTTTTTATGGAACACTGAGGTTCATTACCATGTTCATCAAAGCCTTCCACTAGTCTGTATTCTGAGGAATTTTCTGCATGTTGTAACACTCTGCCTTTTAAGATTCATTTGAATATGCTGCCAGTGATTGGGTTGGCATCATTTTAGTGCTGTAAACTCATATTTGGGATTGATTTATAATTTTTGTTGACTTCTCTTTATGTGTGTAAACATTTCAAGGATAAATTAGGTACAGTAATATGTATTTCTGTCTCATGAAAATTTTTCTGAACTGTTATATTTAAACACATAGTAGTTCTTTTGCCTGCACAAGGGCTGCAGGAAAATAGTTCCCTTCATTTCTATTATGTGGGTTGGTTCCAAAAATCAATAAGACAAAATTTTTGTTATTTTTTCATGAAGTATCGAAGCCAGGTTAGCGCAGTCAGTGTAGCACTGACTGTGGGCTGGATGGCTGAGGGGTCAGAGTTCGAGTGATAGTAGGATCAAGAATTTTCTCTTCTCCACGTCTTCCAGACCGGCTCTGAGGCCAAATATCCAATGGGTACTGTGGCTTTTTCCATAGTGGTAAAGCGTCTGGGGCTTGAAGCCAGCCACTCACCTCCAGCTAGTGCCAAGGTTAAGAAAACGTGGGTCTATATATCCACTCCCACATACGTTTTCATGATGAAATTCTTGATTATTTAAGCATAGGAGCAACTTTACATTACCCTTCTTGAAGTATTCTTATAGGACATGACATTCTGGGTGGCAGTAGTCGTCAAGTCTGCTACATGTATGTTGTGATGACCGTTATGTAATAATATGCAGTTTTTTTGAATATATTGACAGAGAATAGTGGCACGTTGTTTATTACTCTAACAGTTGATTATGTAATGGGAAATGTTTTCATTTTTTGTGGATTATTTTTATGATGCTGTCAGTAGCTAAACTATGATTTGGAAGGAAGTAGTTGTGGCTGAATTGAAGTAATAGGCTAGCTCTTGTCTGGTTGGGCTGAGAAAGACCATGAAAACCTTAGGCACTTATCATGAGAATATCAGGTGCTAAATGAAATTATTTTTGCTTCTCTATGTTATATTATCTTCCTAATTACTGAGCACCTTGGTTCAAGCTGTGACTTGTGTTTTTGATGCTTAATTCAGATCTATACTGAGTAGGTTTTTGTGGTTTTCCTCAGTCCCTTCAGTCAGATTCTGGGCTAAAACCATAAGTGAACCTACCGTTGCTTCTTTTCCACATCCCTCCAAATTAATTATTCACTGTTATCCCATCAGGAGGTGGAATAGCTCATTGAGTATAGAGGTGGGCTACGGGCTGAAGAAGGAATCAGCATTCGATTCCTGATAGGGGCAAAAGATTTTCTCTTCTTCACAGGATCCACACTAATTTTGGGGCCTACTTGGATTCTAATGGCTACTGTGGACAAAGCTACTGGGACATAAAGCTGACCACTCACCTCCACCTAGTGCCAAGGTTAAGAATACATGGACTATTCCTCCACTCCCCCATTCATATTCGTGGTATGGTGCTGAATTAATCACAGGGACAACTTTACTTTTTCCTTTATCTGCCATCCAATTTGTCGGTTTAGTTCGCTTGCGGACTAAAGCCACGGGATTTGTTTTTGTTTGTCATCCAGTCATTCAGCACTGTACTCGTACAGTCTTAGTTACTGACAACATTGACAGTATAATTAAGTAAACCCCAAGCAAGAAAAGAAAAGAATTCTTGTTACTGAGCAAGTTGGCTTAAGTGGTAACACTTCTGACTTGTATTCAGGAGTTGCCTGGTTCAGATCTTGGCGAGGGCACCGACTGTTCTGGTACTTCTAATGGTTTTCCTCATTTCCTCCTGCCAAATGCCAGGGTAGGACCTCTTTCACTCATGACTGCTTTCTTCCACGGTTTTCTTTTGTATTCTTAGGGCGAGTCCCTTTGTTCTTCATCTGTAAATGACCCATTGTGCCAGCCCTGAATGATAGATGAGAGAAGTGAACCACTTGGTGGAATGATACTTGGCAGGGGAAACAAAATTAATTGGAGAAAACCTTTGTCAATTTCACTTTTCCACCACAATTCCCACATGACTGACCTGGGGTTTAACCCAGGTCACTGCAATGAGAAGCCACCAGAGTTGTGGCACAACCTACATTCCACACACTTTCCACTTCATAAATCATCAGTCATCAAACATACAGTTTGATGCTATGTAGTCTGAATGACACATAATGTTAAATAAGCCATAAATAAATAATTCATGTGGTTAGCAACAGTCCTGAAACTTACAGTTATCTAAGCAGCGCTGGGTTTCTGCAAATTACTGACCACCGATGGCTTGTTTGACCACATAAAGAAAATGATCAGCTTGCACCAACATGGTATAACTTGTCGATTTGCACAAGGTGGTGCTGAAAACTTTCTGCTCGGTGGAGTTTGTACTGAATCTGAAGTTTTACTTGGAAACTACTAGCAAGCAACAACAGTTGATCTGCAATTTGGTGTCATAATTATGCAGACAAACAGTAAGTTTCAGACTCCTGTCAGCTGAGATGTTTTGCAGCAACAACAAACCAGCAATTTGCATGTGTTTGTTTCCCCTGGCCAGACTGGTTCATACAAGCAGGGCTAAGCACATGAGAACACAGCTCCAGCAGATGATAAACCACTCTAGCAGGGCAACACATGGCCATCAGCACCAACAACTTATACCCACATAACATCAGTATCTGCACAAGGACCAAAATTCAAAACATTTCATTTCATCCATCAAAACACAAGTGACCACTGATACCAGCAGCATACATTCAGACAATGCCCACATCCCCATAAGGAAAATGTGCGAAACATATTACCACTCCCCTTCTACACTTCACCCATATAAACCACCTATATATATCAAGACAATTTTAGCAGATACTAAAAATAATAGTAATTTTTAGGCAAGGCTTACTAATGCTTGACAAGTATTTTAGTATATTTAAACTTTGTAAACTTATGTAAAAACTGTTTGTGTGTTAAGACTATTGGCAATGCATGTGTTGCATTATGCAGGTTAGTAATGAATGTGGATACATTTTGCTGTTTATAAACTCTTGGTGATGGTCGTAAAGGACGGAAATGTGTAGTGTGAAAATATTTTAATAAACTAAATTGAATTATTGACAGTTTGAGTCTGTATGTTATTTATTGAAAGTATAAAATGGTTGCCTGTGGTTCTGTATGGGTGTGAAACTTGGTGTTGAGAATATTTGGACCAAAGAGAGATGAAGTGACAGGAGGTTGGAGAAAACTGCGTAATGAGGAGCTTCATAACTTGTACTCTTCTCCAAGTAGAATGATCAAGTCAAGGAGGATGAGGTTGGCATGGTATGTAGCATGAATGGGGGATGAGGAATGCATATAGGATATTGGTGGGAAAGCCAGAAGGAAAGAGACCACTGGAAAGACCAAGGCATAGGTGGGTAGACAGTATTAAAATGGATATTAGAGAGATAGAATGGGATGGTATTGATTGGATTGATCTGACTTAGGATAAGGACCAGTGGAGGGTTCTTGTGAACATGATAGTGAACATTCGGGTTCCATAAGATACTTGGAAATTCTTGAGTAGGTGCAGAATTGGCAGCTCCTCCAGAAGGGCTCACCTCCCTGAGTAAGTAAGTAAGTAATAAAATTGTTGTGATCAACAGACATATTTGTGTATTAGTCCTGAAATAAGTTTCCATCCAGGTCTAACACTCCATGAAAGAGAAGTGTCTGCATTCATGTTTTTAATGTTTGGGGGAAAGTAGTTCTCTCTGCCCTGCATGTAGTGTAACTTCTCACTATATGTGTTGCCAAGTGATAACTGATTTCTTTATTTTTAGGTAAAAGCAAAGAAGCAGAAATTAAAAGGATAAATAAAGAGCTAGCCAATATCAGAAGTAAATTTAAAGGAGATAAAACATTAGATGGCTATCAGAAGAAGAAATATGTATGCAAGTTGTTATTCATCTTTCTACTGGGTCATGACATTGATTTTGGTCACATGGAAGCAGTCAACCTGCTGTCATCAAATAAATATTCAGAGAAACAAATTGTAAGTATTATCATTTATTTAATTAAATAAGTCTTACATAATGCATCTGCTGAATTGAGCTTTTAGGAATTGATGCAGAGGTTGTTAGATGTATTACTTCTAACTTGATTACCTTTGTGATGCTTACGCTGTGCTCTCTTATATGATTCCCCCTTCTTGTGTCCCCCACCCTTATCCTCCTCCTCTTCCTGTTGTCATCGTTTTCGTCATCATCATCTGAAGTTTCAAAAGAAATGAAAAGAAGTTTACAGTTCCAGGTTACACATTAAAGCAATATTTAAGGAAAATTAACGAATCTGGTAGATCACATTAATTTTGTGGTTATTCTGTATGGCCATCAGCATCCTATTGACAGTTTGTCTTTATATAGTGTCACTGAATAAATTTTTAAGTATAATATTTTCTACTTTGGTAACATTTGACATGTACATTCACACAGAATAGTATATGTAAGATTGTTCAAATATGTTCTTTGCTTATGTGTGTAATGATCTGTGAGTAGGTAAAATGCTTGTGTCTTCATTTGGTCTCAACAATACAGTGTACATAAACGTGTTAATGTAACAGCGAATTATCTGCCCCAGTATGCTAATGAGACATTTTAAAGTCTGTTGCAAAGTGGCTGCATCATTTATGGGCTTCATTATACAAGTTTATTGTTATCCAGAACATCCTGTAACTTCTGTAGCAATGGGAATTCAACCTAAACATTTTCTTGGTAATTAAACAACAGTTTTCTCATATACCACACTTTGTAAAACTTCAGATTGTATGGCAAGGTTTGTGAACCTTTTGGAGCATTCGATTAAATATTTATTGTTTTGTTGTCAGATTGCATTTTTGAGGGTTTGGAATGACCTTCTGAATTGGTTGACATGGCAGTAATGATCAGGCCTTGTATTCATGGTGCTAGGTTCAAAAGTTGACTGGAATACACACTAACCTGACTCAGGTTATTCATGGTTTTCCTATGTGTCTCCAGGCAAATGCCAGAATATTCCTATGATTAAGCTACGACTGCTTCCTTCTGAATCCTATCCAATTCATCATTCACCCATCATCACACTGTGCAGTGCTTTATCATTGAGCTACCAGTAGTGTCATAAAGTAACACATAAACAATTCTCCTCATTACAAAGTTGCTGCCCATTATTTTGTATCTTTCTGTGTACAAATTTTTATTATTTTAACTTTCAGTCATACAATTCCAAAAATGATGAAATAAAATTATACAGTATTTAAAAAATGTAACTGATATTGTGCAGAAATAAAAAAAGAAGTGTGTAGGTGGATTAGATCAACAGTTCATTGTTGTATGGTTGATTTTAGTTGAAAGAACGACGTAAGTATATGTATGTTGTGTTTTATGTGAACTGATATCGGAGTACATTTATATTTACGTTTAAAAGAAGGAAGGAATATCAGTTAGATGTTAGCAAGGATCTAGAATGTCCATCTATTGATGTTAAAGTCATGCCACTGTGTGTTTAGTATTTTTGAGTATAGGAGATTTGATTCTGGATATTTGTTCCTTTTATATGTTACTGAAAATATTAGCTACTTTAAGGCATGAAAGTTGTGCCTATTGCTTTATTCTTTCAGGGGTACCTGTTCATATCCGTTCTCGTGAACACCAATAGTGATCTCATCAAACTTATCATTCAGAGCATAAAAAATGACCTAACGTCCAGGTAAGACATTCTATACTTTCTGTCTTGGTTCGGAGACTAGTAAGAGACTAGTAAGGCCTAATAACAGAAATGTTAACCCTTCAGATGAGGCTTTTAAATGAACTGTTTTACCCCCAGAAGTGGGACTTACAGTAAGACCTTTGTTTCAGTTCTATTGCAAAGAAAGTTGTAATTTTTTCCTGTGAAATTGAGCTAAGACCTGAAGTGAAGGAAATGGCCTCTGAAAAGCAGTATGGCAGAAATTGTAAAGAAGAAAGCAAAAGTTCAGGAAAATAAATTATTATGAAAATCATTCAAAATAGTCCCCATGGGACCCTTATACAAGTAAGCTTCTCTTTTAATCATTGAAAGCATCCTTGAAATTCAACCGAAGTTATCTTCTTGAGATAGTCGCATTCTTTTGGATATTTTGGATGGTATGAAATCATTTCCATTTATTGTAATTTTTAACTTCAGAAAGAGAAATAAGTCAGCTAGAGCCAAATTTGGTGAATCAGGGGGATAATTGATCTCAGTAGCCCCTTTTGCAAAAGAAATTTTCAATCGACACTATATGCATAGGTGCAACAAAAACTAGGCGTTGTTTTCATGAAAGTCTGGTCTGATCTGATCTGTCGGATTCTTTGCAAGAATTGTTCCATCACATAAATGAAATTTGTCATTCTATCTTCTGGAACAAATCCATTGTTGATGATTTATCTTGAATTGAATCCCATTACTTTTCCGATGCACTGCATAATCAAATTCTTTCGACCCACACAAGCTTTAGGTTCTGGAGGAGGTCTTTGCTCCGAGGAATCAGTTAATTGGGATGAGAAAATATGTTAATAAGCAGTTCTGCATATAAATAGTACTAACCATGGTCTCCCCAGCAGAGATACTCGTGCAAAATATGTGGTTCTCACAGTGGTCACTGACTTCTGGGATGTGACCCTTTGTGGTTTGGTAGATTGTTACCGACATTTTGGATGAATGCGCAGCCTCCATCTTCAGGGATCAAGACAGGCGCAGCATATTCCTCCAGATCAATGGTAATGATCAGGGCCCGGATTTTGATGACCTGAAAATATTTAAAAAATGACCAAAAAAATCCAGAAAAATGACCTAAAATATGACATAAAAATGTAATATGCAGGGCCTGGATTTTGATGACCTCAAAATATAAAAAAAAAAGACCTATAAAATGACCGAAAAAATCCAGAAAGATGACCTAAAGGAGAAAAGAAAGAACACTTCGCTTCCAAGTTATTCACATTTAAGAAAACATATGAAGAAAAATTCCCTGAAATGGCCAAAAATGACAAGAAATACCCTTAAAAGTCCAAAAATTTGCCAAAAAATTATCCCCAAAATGAAAAAATGACCTTAAACCTAAAAATGTCAAGAAATTACCTATAAAATTTACATTTCTGTAACCAGCAGCTCATATCCGAGATTTATATATTTAAGAGCATCGCATAGGATACAAGGAAAAAAAGAATGACATGTCATCAAAATCCAGGCCCTGGTAAGTGATCTATCAGATTGAAGGGTTTCACATTCCAGAAGACAACTTTAAGATACTGAGTCCCCAAATCAAAATCCTTTGGCTTTTTTATTGCGAATAAGGTATTGCATTTGTTTAAACTGACACAAGTTGGTTGTGATACAAGGCAGTATATTTGTGTTTCAGAAATCCAGTGCATGTTAGTTTGGCACTTCAATGCATAGCCAATATAGGGAGCAAGGAAATGGCAGAGGCCTTTGGATATGAAATTCCAAAACTTTTAGTATCTGGGTGAGTATGAGCAATGTTGGTGTTAATTACAGTGCTAACAAGCCTACAGGTTGTTAGATTGTTTTGCTTCACCTTTGTTGGAGTGTAGTGAAATGTAATGAGGCTCATGTAGTTTGAACCAGATAAAACCCCAAGTCAATTTGCATCTATTCTCTAATGTATTTGAGTTACACAAAACTTGATTTATTTTTATGTAATTTTAATTTTTATAAATTTTTGCTGAGCAATTTGCTTGAAGTGGTAATTTTTTTTTAATTGCTATTGGGGTGGGACTAAGTCCCTTGTACTGCGGCCATTTCTGGCCTATTGTACCAGCCCCAGATAATAGGTGAGGGTGATTGTGGAGCAATTGTTAGAATGAAGAGTGGCAGTGGAAACTGAAGTACTCAGAGAAAACCTGCCCCAGTGCCACTTTTTCCATCACAAATCCCACTTGACCAGACCCGGGATCGAACCCGGGCCGCTGCGGTGGGAAGCCAACGACTAACCACTTGAGCTATGGTGCAGCCTTGAAGTGGTAATGCTTTGGATTTATATTTTGGAGGTGCTTGTTTTGAATCTTGCTCAGGACACCAGCTATCCAACCTGAGGTTTTTCGAGGTTTTCGTCCACTCCCTTCAGGCAAATGTGAGGGTAGTATATAAAATTGGTCATGCTAATCCACATCTTTTTGAACTCATTATTTGATTTCATCCAATAATCTGCTGGTAAATAATAGCCTGAGTTAATGATAGCATTGTTAAATAAACCACAAAACATTTAAAACTTTGCATTATGAAATGAATATTATGAAAAGATAATGCTCTTGAGTTGCTTAGTGAAGATGCTCTTCCACTTTCAGTTTAGTAAGTAAGACAAAATATAATAACACTCTGTCTTGAATTGCAAAAGAGAGACATCAGCAACTTTCTGCTTGGACCAAATGAAATTAGGGAATAAATTTAGTTGCTTTTATAAATAAGGGTATAATAATACTCTGCCAGTATTGAGTCCCCTGTTTTAATTTCTGGGCACATATGCACAAAGTAAAAGAAAAACTGTTGCAGTCATGATAATTGATGTCATGCTTGTAACTGATGAACACCTTTTACATGTTTCTGTCCTTGAAAAGTAATTTTTTACATGACTGTTCATGTTGTAAACTATTACATAAACTTTTTTATGTTAGGCAGTATTTTGCATGTATGTTATGCTGATGTGAGGATGTTAAGTGCCCTGTTGTACCAGTTGTTAGTGTATGGGATTTGTATTAAAAGCATATATGCTTGATTTAATGTGAGTTAGTCATACAGCGATTATAAGGAATAGAGCCAGTTCCTGAAATATTCTATGCCTAGTGTATATATAAATATAACTTCTCTGTTTTCCGTTTCCTATCACAGACCTACTGGAAAACATCTAAGCATATCATGAGTGTTAATCCGCACTCTTGCTATGTGATAGCCATGATGTAAAGTGATGTACAAGTATCGCAGTAGGTTCTTTGGATGTAATCCAGATCTTTGGTCTCAATTTTCATTTTAATTGCCTGATTAAAGTTTAATGTACTAGAATTAAAACTTATTTGCAAACAGTCAAATTACAGCATAAGGTATTATTTATTCATTTTAATTTTATTGGTAACCCCAATATATTTTGGCATTCAGATGTCATCCTCAGGGTCCTCTGTTCAGTGAAACACTGGTAAAACCTTGTTCAAGGCTATTTCACAGTATTGTATGTAAAATTTAAAAGCTTCTTAAAAAGTTAGTCCAAGAAATGAAGTGACCCTGTTTTATAATATACATTGTTAATGAATCCTTTTATGCAGTTCAGAGATAGTGGTGTTCAAATTCATGTAGAGATTTGTATATGTGACTGTGTATTAATTAATTTGAGTGTTACACTTTCTTTAAAATTGTATCTACTATATTCTGTGATACCGACAAGGAAAACAACCATATTTTGTCTGATGAACAGGTATTTCCTCTTGTATTAAATATATTGTAAGTAAAGTAAAGCTCACCCTGTAACAGGCCATGAAGGCCCATAGGTTGTGAGACGTTGAGGGTCCCACATTATCTAGACAGCTGGCTCAGAGATGGCGGTAAGCTTGTCAGCCTTACACGCTGGCCGCGCTTTACTCCCCAGGGCCATAGTGTAGCTGGAAGGATTAGGTCAATTAAAGAAAATCCAATGACCTCAACAGGAATTGAACCTGCGACCTTCCAGCTTGTAGCATAGTGCCTCAACCAACTACACTACCGTATGCTCCAAATATATTGTCGTGTGTCAGAATATTTTGGTCAGTGGGCAGCAACTGACAGATCTATATTAGATTATTTGTTGAACCAGGGCTGCCATGTTTTGTACCATGGCGAAGCAAGCCAAAGTAATTATTTACCTTTTCTCATTTGGTGAATAGGGACACTATGGATGTGGTTAAACAGTCAGCTGCCCTCTGTTTACTGAGATTGTTCCGTACCTCTCAAGAAGTCATTCCAAGTGGTGAGTGGACGTCACGAATCATCCATCTTCTGAATGACCAACATATGGGTGTGGTGACAGCTGCCACCAGTCTCATTGATGCGCTGGTTAAGAAAAACCCTGAAGAATACAAAGGATGCATTAGTCTTGCAGTATCGAGACTCAGTAGGGTAAGAAGCTTATGTGATACCAGTTTTACAGTTTCGCAATGCAAATGTTCGAAGTTTAAAGAATACTGGCTTGTGGAACATGATGCCATGTAGCCTGATAGAAATTTGCTGATGCCTTAGAAGAACATACTGCCTCTGTCTTCAGGGTGAGATAGCAACCAGCAGGGCAATGCTTGATGCTTACTTGTTGCTGGTTCTTTTCTCAGCTTTCTCTTTAACTCTGAAGATGGAGATAACACATTTCTCCAAAATTTTCGCAAATTTGTGCTAGACTATATAGTGTTACATTCCTTAAGGTAATAATACTCATAGTTTGAGCATAACTCATAAAGCCTAGTTTCCTGCTGCACAGGTATCTAGTACAAAACTTCATATTAAATTAATTATGTTTTGTCTGTGATTGGAATTTGTGGTGATATTTTCAGATTGTAACTGCAAGCTATACTGATCTTCAGGATTACACATACTATTTTGTGCCTGCCCCCTGGCTCTCTGTTAAACTGCTACGACTCTTGCAGAATTATACACCTCCAGGTATAGCCATATGGTGATATTAAACTTTAGTTGCTGACTCTTTGCCACTGACTATAGCAGCTTAAATTTGTTTAATCATTATATAGTAAACTTATGGTTGTCTAATATCCAGACATCCAAAGTTATCCACCTGGCAGAAATTTCAAGGAATTTGTGTTATCTAAGAATATTCACATGCAGGAAGTAAAGTAAAAATGTGTTGTTTTGACTTGGTATTGGGTTTGTATCCGGTCTAGAAAACCGAAATTAATGGCCGTGGGGATTTGTTCAGAAACACTTCAGAGATATGTTTAAAATCTGAACTGAGTAAGACTGAAAATGGAAAGAATTTAATACTGAGATAATGGGGTTTGTTTGTAGAATTTGAATGTAACGAGGACAAATCTGAAATAAAATACACTATAGGTCATAAGGTAACTGTCACACAAACATTTATCAACAATTTTTTTTTCTAATTATTGTTCACTACATGTTTCAGCTGCAAATGAGCACCAAGTAATGTGCAACAGAGTCACTAAAACATACAGTGTAGTATGAATTTTTGTGATGATTATTTAATGGCCCATAGCAAGACACAAATTTGATTGTGTATAAAAATAATCAAAACCCTAATTGGGGTACCAGTATACCTAAATTGTCTCTGAGGGTGCATCATCATCATAATATAGTGACTTAGATTATTATATCATCATTGGAAAATTTCATGTGAGCTATCTTGCTGAACTGGGACTTCTGTTCCGTGTGGTTGTCTAATCAAAGTATGACGTACTTCACATGTATTAAACAGATTGTATCTGTATTTAACTATGTATGTGTATATGTGTGGTAAGCAGGTTATTTGTTTGGAAGCAGGCATCTAAGTTAATTTCGTTTTTCATTTTCAGAGGATCCAGGAGTGCGTGGCAGACTGAATGAATGTCTGGAAACTATCCTGAACAAGGCTCAAGAGCCTCCAAAATCAAAAAAAGTTCAGCATTCGAATGCAAAGAATGCTGTCTTGTTTGAGGCCATTAGTCTTATAATCCACAATGACACAGAACCAAATCTCCTTGTTAGGGCATGTAACCAATTGGGGCAGTTCCTGTCAAATCGCGAGACAAATTTAAGGTACTTGGCACTGGAATCGATGTGCCTGTTAGCTACCTCAGAGTTTTCTCATGAGGCTGTCAAGAAACACCAGGAAGTTGTCATTCTGTCTATGAAGGTAAAGTACAGCTTAAGTGAAGGAATGTTTTAATGATCTTCCTCTGGCTATGAATTTGAGCTGCTTGCATGCGCTTCACAACCTGTATTACCAATGAAGATTTGTATCTTCTGGGATATAATGCTGTGTAGTCCATTGAAAGTCATCCATCTTTTTGGAGGTAGATGTTGCCTCCATCTTCACTGTCAAAGATTAAGCGAGGCAAGAAGCAGATGTCAGCTTCTTTGCGAGACAGTATGTTTCTGTGAAACATCAGTGGACTTCTGTTGGATTACATGGTGTTAACCAGAAGATTGTACTCTTCNGTCAGTACGACAGCAAGCAGTGGACTTGCTGTATGCCATGTGTGACAAGAGCAATGCTGAAGAAATAGTACAGGAGATGTTGAATTATCTAGAAACTGCAGATTACTCAATCAGAGAAGAAATGGTAAGAAACAAATATGAATTTTAAATTAGTAGTAGTAGTGGTGGTGTAGCATTATTTATGTCATTGTGCATGAACTGATTATAAAATAGTGTTTTATATGTGCTTCTGTTTCTTTTAGGTTCTAAAAGTTGCCATTCTTGCAGAAAAATATGCTACAGACTACACGTGGTATGTGGATGTTATTTTGAATTTAATTCGGATAGCTGGTGACTATGTCTCAGAAGAAGTATGGTATCGAGTTATCCAGATTGTCATCAATAGAGATGATGTGCAAGGTTATGCTGCAAAAACTGTGTTTGAGGTACGGTTTTGTTTAACAGAATGCCATAGCCCGTCCAAATGACAGGTAGCATTGAAGACTGTTAGCCATTTCGTTTTGTTGGAAATTACATAATAATACATGGAAAAACACTGCTCTGCATCCCTGGCAGGTTGGTGTAGCAGTGATAATCTGGACTAGTATTCAGGAGATGTTCAGTTTGAATCTTGAGCAGGACATTGGCTGGCTGGCTGTCCTGACAGACTATGTTTTGTGGTTTCATTCTGTCCCTCCAGGCAGATCCCAGTGTAGTACCTCAAAGTTATGCCACAATTGCTGCCTTCCCTGTTCTTTCCAATTAATTAATTACCAATCATCCTACCATTTGAAGAGCCAGGATAGAGCAGTTGGTGTAGTGACTGGCTGAAGGCTGCGTGGTGAAGAGATCAAAATTGAGTGGTGTTAGGGCCAAGAATTGTCTGTTCTCCATGTCATCAAGACCAATTCTGGGGTCCATCCAGCCTCCTATCTAGTGAGTACCAGGAGCTGGTTCCCTGGGGGTAAAGTGGCCATGTTGTGAAGCTGACCACCTACCTCCAACTAGTGCTGAGGTCAAGAAAACTTTGATTTATTCATCACTTCCCCATATGCCTTCATGGCATAGTGCTTAGTTAAACACAAGGACAACTTTAAATTATCTTTACCTACCATTTGACGTTACACAGTCTTGATAGTGACAGAATTTTAAAACAACTCACAAGCTTTCCTGCTTAGACACATTATATATAGACGTCTCTTGATTTATGAATTTTTATTTTACTTCATATTCCTTTTCTTTCAATCATTGCAAACGTGTGTCTGTGATGTGTTGCAAGAACAAAAGGAAAGTGTTCCTTTTGCCTTTGCAATCCCATGTTAACATGAATGTTATCAGTGTAGGTAAAAGAGATGATTTCATAAGTACCTGAAGTTAAAAATGATTGAATGTGTTGAACAAGCAGGAGCAAAGTTTGGTATTAATGCAGTGTTCATGAGAGATTGAAGAAACCGATATCTTCTATTCAGAAAGACCGTCATCTCCACATGGTAGTGGGGGGTGTGGTTGTGAAGGTATAGTTTCACCTCATCACTAGATGGAAGTAGATGGTCATTTGGCCGCGCCGTAACTCAAGCAGTTAGTCGCTGGCTTCCCACCATGGCGGCCTGGTTTCGATCCTGGGGTCTGGTCAAGTGGAATTTGTGGTGGACAAAATGGTACTGGGGTGGGTTTTATCCGAGTACTTCGGTTTTCCCTGTCAATCTTCATTCCACCAAATTCTCCATCATCATAATCACCCGGGGCAGGCTACAATAGGCCAATCAGTGGCCATCGTGCTGAGCGGACCCTGTTGGCCTCCACCCCCCACTGAGTGAATTAAAAAAGAAATTAAGTGGTCAATTTCACTCCCCTGCAGCTTCATTGCTGGAGAAATGGACCCCAGTGCTCATTGTATAGGAAACTGGGTAGCCACCAGAGCTGGTCTGGATGTTATGGAGAGAAAAATAATCTCCAACCCCCTTCAGTAATTGAACTGACTCTTTGGTTCTCCTGGCTATGTCTACTCACATTGCATATTGACTGAGCAGTCATAGGTAACATTGGTAACTTATGGTGATCTGCTAGCACATGAAAATTTAGCTAAGGATGGTTTACTTGTTACTGATTAAAGAAGTGATATTGCTGTCCCTTCATAGAGATCTGTTCAGCCTGGAAAGAATCATGCAAGTATATTTTATGATGCAGGCTCTCCAAGCTCCAGCCTGCCATGAAAATATGGTCAAAGTTGGTGGCTACATCCTTGGAGAGTTCGGCAATTTGATCGCGGGAGATCAGCGGTCATCACCACTAGTTCAGTTCCAACTTCTACATTCCAAGGTAAGTTGTAATTTGAAGTTATTTTTTCTTGCCATTTATTTCATACAAAGAGATGAAGTCCCCGTGCTTAATTAAGTGCCATGTCATGTAGATGTATGGGAGAGTGGAGTTAATAGTTTCATGCTTTGTTAATTTAGGAGTTACGTGGAGGTGAATTATGGGCTTCATGTCAGGATGGGTCTGGTCTGGATGTTTAGAAGAGAGAAATCAAATCAAACCCTGATTTCCTGAACATACGTAGGGAAGTCAAAAATTATCCGCACTCTTGTTTTTCCAATCCATATATAGAAAAGTAGGGGTTGAACAAGTACTTCATTTTTCTATATAGTCTCCTCTCTTTTCGATGCACTTGGTCCAGCGGTCCAAAAGCTTGTGTATTCCCTCCACAAAGAAGGTTTCTGGTTGGTCACGTAACCATTTATGCACCGCTTCCCCCACTTCTTTGTCCGTAGAAAATCAAAAACCTCATAAAACATCTTTGAGCTGTCCAAAGAGATGACAGTCGGAAAGGGCGAGATCTGGGCTGTAGGCAGGGTGTTCCAGCACCTCAAAACACATATGGTTAATGGTTTCAACGGTGTGGCCATCCTTGTGTGAGTGTTCATTGTCATACAACAACAACACTTTCTTCTACAATAGGCCTTAGCGTTTGGCGCGAATTTCTGGCTTCAGATTGTTGGCCAGCAAATTACTGTATCTTGCACTGTTGATCATACACCCTTTTTCCAGGTAGTCTTCCAGTATAGGCCTTTTTGATTCCCAAAATATGGTTAGCATCCCCTTTCCCACGAAAGATTGAGTTTTGAATTTCATCTTCGTTTGCGATCCCGGGTGTTTCCACGCCATACTCTGGCTTTTGGATTCTGGCTCATAGTGATGAACCTACATACGAATTTCAGCCCCTGACACACCTTCCAATCAGAGAAATCGGATCACTATTCTTTGTTAATCATCGGTGCACACTGCTAGCAGAGCAGCCATGTTTACACTGTCACAGCATCAAGGAAAATGATGCAGTCAAGGTAAAACTTCAATCACATGACCACAATAGTACCAACTCTAACGATGCATGCGTAGGAGGCAGTGTGACAAACCTAAAGATGTGTTATGGAGAAAGTGCGGATAATTTCTGACTTACCCTTGTACATTCTATACCCTAATCTGTATTCTGACTTGTCACAGATGGCAATATATAGGCCTATACTGAAACATATTTCTGTAATTTCTTGATACTACATGTCTCAGAATATTACTGATAGGAGATAAAAACAGTTAGAGATGTTCCTATAAGATTATGGGGCTATAATGATAAGTAGTGTTAAAGAAACAATTTTTTTCTAATTCATTTGAACTTCACAGGCTTTTAGGTTGTCTTGACATTGCATTAAAACTGTTCGGTTAAAGGGACTAGCGTGAGGGTTATCACTCACTACAAAATATCTCTTAGTAGATAGCATCAAGTGTGATATACATCAATATCTAGAAAGAAGAGCAGGCTTTCACATTATCAACACCTGTGGTCATTTGGACATAAAGTGTGGAAATGTGGGATTTTATATATAGTTGCATTTACCCCCAAGCAGCACTGTTATTTCTAGCAGGTAGTTCTGTGGTGGTGAATGGCATTCAGTGGGTTGAATTATAATAAACAGGAATTGTGGCTGCCTTAGGGTAAACATGTCTCAAAATTCAGACAAAAGGCTTACAAACACATTATGTAAACACTAATGAATTTGCTGCTTTAAATCTACATTTTAAAATTCAACTTACTGTTTTGAAAATGTTAATAAAAATGATGAACAGGTGAAGGAATTACACAAACTAATATTATAGTATATCAAATGTGAAACAAATCTTGCAGTCTCTGTTAACTGAGCCACTGTACTGCAGGTGTAAATAAAAAATGCACACCTGTTCTTATGATGGAGAGTTGTAGGGCAAAACTTTGTTATGTTTTGACAGTTTCCAGAGTATATTTCATTTGTATTTTCAGATTGACCTGCATTTCAGTATTTTTATGTGACTGAAACGTATAGTGAACTATCTTTGCCTTAATGGAATAAAGTTTGTATAATGGTGTACTGTATTCATTTGTAAGCTTCACTGACATGATACAGCATTGTGAGAGTAATACTGTATTACCAGTTACCTTGCAGCACTTATTCAGATAATATTTATTGCCTAATGAAGGTATGTAGAAATATGTTCATATTCTTCAGATCGCCAGTTGCCTTGGGGGCATTAGGTAGCATAGTCTGTTGAGACACTATGCTACAAGCCGGAAGGTTGCGGGTTCAAGTCCCAATGAAGTGGATTTTTTTTTTTAATTGACCTAATCCTTCCAGCCGCACTATGCCCCCGGAGTCAGCTCTGCCTCTAACAGAAGTGAGTACCAGGAATCTTCCTGTGGGTAAAGGGTGGCCGGTGCGTAAGGCTGACAACCTCATTGCCATCTGTGAGCCGATTGTCCAGATACTGTGGGACCCTCAACATCTCACAATCCTATGGGCCTCCAAAGCCTCTTACAGTGATAGCTTTACCTTTTTTTTATATTTTTCTTACCTTTTTCCTTGATTTTGTTTATACTTGAATTGGTCATGTATTTTGTCATGTTCAGAAATGTAAAATAAATTTTTTAATGTGGGTGATATAATAAATTGAGGAGCTATTTCAAGGAAATGATGGCTCTGGTCTAGAAAACCGAGATTAACGGCCATGGGGATACATTGCACTGGCCACCTGACACCGTCTATCCACAAAAGTTGGCACTAACTTCGTCGACAAGCGGTGGTTATTTGGTCGGTATAGTTCGCTTGCAGACTACAGGCTACGGATTTTTTTTTTTCAGTGATGTAATATTTTCAGGGTAGTGATTAGAACAGGGACCATTGGTGGGCTGTTGTGAACGCAGCAATGAATCTACAGTATTCACAAGAGGCAGAGAATTTCTTGTGTGTCATAGTTTGTGTTAGTTTCTCAAGAAGGGCTCCTCACCATTGAGTCAGTAATTAGTAGATGTTAATATGTGAATGTCTCCTTTACAGTACCACTTGTGCTCACCCATGACAAGGGCGCTATTGCTGTCGACATATATAAAGTTTGTGAACCTGTTTCCTGAAATCAAACCTCAGATCCAAGAAGTGTTCAGACAGCATAGTAACTTGCGCAGCGCAGATGCAGAACTCCAACAGAGGGCATCAGAATACTTGCAGCTGAGCATCATTGCTTCCACAGATGTTCTGGTTTGTAACATGCACATTTCTTATTTAGTAGGAATTTAGAAGTTTCTATACAGTGCACTACATGTTTTGATCAACATTGATCATCATCAAGTGTTAAAAATTGTTGGTGAAAACTGCTGTGCTTTCGTTTTGTGGCTGTAATATTCAATGTGTAGCACTGACTGGCTGTTCCCATTGTGTTGTGTATCTACACTATGAGTTGTAGTGTAGACACACTACAACAGAATTGTACATAGTAATTTATACACCTTTTAAAACAGGGATAAGTTACAAGAATAACAGCATATACTAAAAAGTATAAGCTTCTTGGGATCAACACATACACAAAATTGCTGTACGTTATAGTGGCAAATAACAGTTATTCATTTATAAGAGGAAACTAGGCAAGTAACTGGCAAGAAGCTTGTGGCAGTGCTGCCTCCTTGCTGATTATGTGCCTGGTTTACTCTTCAACCCTGAAGATGGAGGTAGCATGTTCCTCTGAAACATGCATTACATCCCAGAAGACAGTATATTGACTGTTAACACAAATGGGATGCCCCCCCCCCCCTGTATGATTAATGGTTGGTTTGATTTGTTATGTAGGCTACAGTATTGGAAGAGATGCCAGCATTCCCTGAGCGCGAGTCGTCCATCTTAGCTGTTCTAAAGAAAAAGAAGCCAGGCAGAGTACCAGAAAATGAGATTCGTGAAGGAAAGAGCCCTGCCCCAACCACTAATCACCAGAATGATCAGTCCACAGGACAGGTAACGTATCAGATTCTTCTTACATGAATCTGTGCTCTCATCTTTATTGGTTTGTACATTCAAATATGCCAGTAAGGTATTCATAATTTTTGACTGCCATAAGAATGTGCAATGAGGTTTGGTGTTTCTGCAACCAGTTAATGTTCCATTGTGAAATTAACCCGTTATAAATGTGTACACTTCTTGCATGTAACTGTGTATCTAATTCCATGGTCCTTGAAGAGCTGGTAGTTAAGTGGTCACAGAATTCCCTGTGTTACAGTCGAACATGAAATTTCCTTACACTGTTGACAAAATTGTTCTCTGAGTCACATCTTCCTACTGTTTCATCTTGTTCTCCTTTTCCTTCTGTTAATTTCCCTCCATGTTCTTACTGTTCTCAGCTTCCTTCTTTTTCCCCTTCCCTTTCTCTCTAACCTCCTCATATATCAACTAATTTCTAATCTGTTATTGTTAGAACATATTTGTGTAGAGAGGTAATACTGTAGACTTGTATTTGGGAGATGCTTGATTTTAATCTTAGCTGGGACTCAAGGAATCTTGACCACAGTTTTCCATGGTTTTTTCTCAGTTCCTCAAGGCAAATGCCAAGTATCTTGATAGGCCACAACTGCTTAAAATCCTTTTCAGGTTATCCTTCATCTGTCATCCTATCCTCAGACATTGTATGGTTTCAATACTGAAAAAGTGTCATTTAATAACTTAAAGAAAAATGTCTGTTCTTCTCCTCTTCTTTACCTGTTCCTTTATCATACTCTTCTTCATCCTTTCTTTCTCCATCTTCTCTTGACTTTCATGATGTGCATAGTTATGCAGTGAAGGTCCAGAAGTGTTTATGCATTTCTTGTTTCATGCATGCATCCTGTCTTATCACTTTTATGTAAGCTGTTGCCATTTTATTCTCAGTACAGCTTGTCACCTACAATTCATGGGAAAAAATTGGGCAGGAGGTGTGTAATGTTAAGACTAGTTTTCTTTAGTCAGGAATTTGGACAGTGTTTGTAAAGAGTGGCCTTTAATGCATTGTGCGACTTCACTTGCAGGCTCCAACAGTAAACAATGCATCAACAGACCTGCTTGGTTTATCAACACCTCCTGCATCACAACCAGCAGCGCCCAGCAACACTGGTGTTCTGTTAGACATGTTTGGGGATATCTATAGTGGTTCACAAAACAGTGCTAACAACATAAACAACCTAGCCCCTGCACAAAGTACATACAATGCAAAGAAGTAAGTGCTTCTCTGTTTTTATCTTAAAATCGTTCATTTATTTAGATTGTACTCAGAAGAGCATTATGCTCCAGTAAAATTGAAATGAGAAAAGTTCTTTGCTCTGTACCAAAATTAAATCTTCAGTTTGTTGGTACTGTGTTTTAAGACATTGTCAACTAAGATTGTCTCAGAGTCAAGGAGAGCTTCCCTGACCCTACCATGTCTCTTAGACGTTTTGGTGTTCATTCTTAGATTGTGCCAATATTTCATTTTGTCATCACCAGATGGTAGTCTTAAGCCCTTCTGTGGCTATCTTTGACCATAGAATGTATCTGATTTTTTGTAATAAACGAATGAAGGTCAAGAATTAATACAATGCAACGGCAGGGGCTGGCTGCATTTTCCATGAATCATCTAAATCTTCAATTTTTGCTTGATTTGTTTATTTTCTCTTTCGCCCAACTTTCTCTTAACACTACTTCCCAGTGACAAAACAGCCCTTCTCAGGGTCATTGGTTCCCAATGGCTTGTTCAAAGCTGTAATTTGTGTCCTCTGTTCTTCATATCACACACCACTTTTCCTGTCTATGTCTATCTTGAGTAGGAGGCAGAATGTTCTTGTGAAGCACCAGTACCCATCTACCACATTATGTCAAAATACATCACAGAAGATTATGGCGTGAACATTCAGCACCTTGACGTTCTCAGTTCTTCCCTATATTCACTGATCTTATGGGTTTCTTATTAAAAAATGGACAGGTTTTTAATACAGCCCCTAAAAAGTGTTATCAATTAAAATGGCAGATTTTCATTAGTACTTACTTCATGAAACCAGTAACAAGAATGATGTGAACCTGAGGAACATCCTAGTGATTATGTTCATTCATTTATTCACATTCCATAAGATCTTTACAAGGTCAAAAAACAACCAATAAGATACAGAAATCATCAAGTAGCTTAATCACATCATGCTTATCAATCAAGCAGCTGCCAAAAAACAATTAATAGTAGATAAGGTTTACATTAGTCATAAAAGAATTAATCTTAAAAACAGTAAAAACATTGACAATTTTAGAATAAAAAATTCAGTCAAAATATTATGTACAAATATTGCTTATACATTGAAGCAATTATCTAAAAACAAGTTTATAATATAAGAATAGTTTAGAATGTTAATATAATTAATGATAATAGCTGTAACTAAACACTGACAACATAAGATAACAAATTGAAATTAATTGGTAATAAGAAATGCAAGTACAATTTAAAAATGCTTAATCACATAAAACCTATTTTGTCAGATACTTTAAGTTTCTTACTAAAAAAGCTTTAATTCAAGTACCATATTGCTTAAATAATTATATATTATAACCATGAAACATCATCTCATAAAAAAATCATCCAATGTATAAAAAGAATTAAAATACAAAAATTCCTTTAATTTGTCTTTATACTTTTTTATATCCTTCGATATTAGCTTAAGTGAGTTGGGAAGTGCATTATAAATCCTTACCACCATATGATAGACCCCATTTCCATATATCGCTAAATATGTGTGGTGATTATATATAACTCACCTCTGTTCAGTGCTGGGAGTTTAAGAAAGGCTGGACCTATACTCCACAACAGGGCTAAGGCTTATGGTGAACTGTATTGCCAGTCCTTTATGTTTTCCATATTTTTTACAGTTTAAATGTTCTCAAGAGGAATGTGCTATTGTAGTTGTACTTCAATGAAAATGTACCTTTTTGACAGAGAATATGGCTTGTACTTTGCAGTGTTATAAAAACCAATGCTTCATTTTTTATACCCTTGATTTATTTATTTATTACAGGTTTGTGTGTAAAAATAATGGAGTCCTGTTTGAAAACGATCTTATTCAGATAGGTGTGAAATCAGAGTTCCGGCAAAATTTGGGAAGGCTTGGGCTCTTCTATGGTAATAAAACATCTTTCGCATTACAGGTACACAATTTTAAATACAGTAAAGAGAAAGTAAATGTAATATACTGAACATTTGAATGTAAAGAAATGGCCATCTCACAGTATTAAAAATTTACAGGAATTATGAATATTTCAAAGCTGTTCTAACCAGAATATACATATTGTACCCCAAACTCTACAAATAATTGATGTACTGTCTCATTGTACTCCCACTTTTTCTCCAATATTTGACAAATGCAAAAGATCTGATCAGTAGTTGATCTGTTACATTGAAACCCACACTGATGATCCCCAATAATTTCATCTGTGTATGGACTCAACCTTGAGATTTGAAGCTTTCGTGCTGACTACATACAGTGAAGACTTCTTGGGCATCTGTGTCTCTATTGTCAGTTAGTGGTTGATGGATACAGGCAGTTTCCGACATGTTGGATACTAGTACCATTTTCACATGACCGATCACCCAAGAAGACTTCATCGCATGTAATGGTATTCTTCTGATGTATATTTCACAGCACCTGTTGTATGACAATTCCATCAGTTGGCTTGCAGTGACAGTCAGTTTTATTGCAGAACTTCCTGCCAAGTATATCTTGCCCAGATGATCTGTCATCTAAGCTGAATATTCAGGTGAAACCAGTAGAACCTGTCTTAGAGGCTGGTGCTCAGATTCAGCAGATGGTTAATGCAGAGTGCATTGAGGACTTTGTTGGTGAGTACATACTGGCATAGCCTGCTGTTCCTGAAGTTTCTTGTTTTACAAACTTCGCTGTTTTACCTGTTACAGAAATTTGTCCTTCTGACTGAATATGTTATTAACTTTCTGAAGAGTGGTCATGTAACACAGAATTTCTTTTTGTGCCTTTGGTTTTGTTGGCTGTAATTTTCATTGAAAAATATTTGTCTGATTTTAATATCTTTGTTTTAGCCATTTATGAACATTCTTCTATTTGTTTTAATCAAACAATTTTTTTCTTCAGTTTTCATCAGTACAAGTAAAATTAACCCGTTGCCGTGGTTCGTCGTGTATGTTTCGTCAGGGATTTAAATCCTCTGGGGGGGTTCGGCGTGTATGTTTCGTCCAGCTGCACACCTATGTTAGAACGCCCATAATAATTGATGGTTTTGCTGTAGATTGTTAGATTTTTCGCTGGCCTGTTGTCACAAGAACAGAGTATACTAAGCCAACGAGTTTAGCTGAGATAAGTCATCGTTACATATGCCTGTCTTGCAGCAAATTCGTGTTGCTTCTTGTAGCGGTTTCGTCACTCAATGGCGTATTTGCTTTGCTTGTGAAGTAATAAACACCAGAGAGGTGAT